AAAAATAAATGACCCAATCAAAAAATGGGCCAAAGAACTAAACAGACATTTCTCCAAGGAAGACATACAGATGGCTAAAAAACACATGAAAAGATGCTCAACATCATTCATCATCAAAGAAATGCAAATCAAAACCACAATGAGGTACCATTACACGCCAGTCAGGATGGCTGCTATCCAAAAGTCTACAAGCAATAAATGCTGGAGAGGGTGTGGAGAAAAGGGAACCCTCTTACACTGTTGGTGGGAATGCAAACTAGTACAGCCGCTATGGAAAACAGTGTGGAGATTTCTTAAAAAACTGGAAATGGAATTGCCATATGACCCAGCAATCCCACTTCTGGGCATACACACGGAGGAAACCAGATCTGAAAGAGACACGTGCACCCCAATGTTCATCGCAGCACTGTTTATAATAGCCAGCACATGGAAGCAACCTAGATGCCCATCAGCAGATGAATGGATAAGGAAGCTGTGGTACATATACACCATGGAATATTACTCAGCCATTAAAAAGAATTCATTTGAATCAGTTCTAATGAGATGGATGAAACTGGAGCCCATTATACAGAGTGAAGTAAGCCAGAAAGATAAAGACCAATACAGTATACCAACACATATATATGGAATTTAGAAAGATGGTAACGATAACCCTGTATGTAAAACAGCAAGAGAGACACAGATGTACAGAACAGACTTTGGACTCTGTGGGAGAAGAGGAGGGTGGGATGTTTAGAGAGAACATCGAAACATGTATATTATCTAGGGTTAAACAGATCACCAGCCCAGATTGGATGCATGAGACAAGTGCTCGGGCCTGGTGCACTGGGAAGACCCAGAGGGATGGGATGGGGAGGGAGGCAGGAGGGGGGATTGGGATGGGGAACACATGTAAATCCACGGCTGATTCATGTCAATGTATGGCAAAAACCACTACAATACTGTAAAGTAATTAGCCTCCAACTAATAAAAATAAATGGAATAAAAAGAAAAAAAAAGAATCATGCTGGGAGGGGAAAGTGGAACAGGCATTTTGGAGAGCTATCTGGCATTCTCTGTGAGGTGACTGCGCATCTGCGTTCTGGTTGAGCCCACCCTAGGCACAGTCTCAGAGAAACTCGGCTGAAGATGCTAAAGGGACCTGAGTGAGGACGTTTACCAGAGCTGTTAAGATTGTAGGGAGCTGGAGATCATCCAGAGGGTGAGATAAGTAAAGCAATGTAGGCACTCTGGATGGCGGGCTACATCCACGGGGTCACAAACAGTCAGACACAACTGAGCGACTAAGCCCAGTGCAGCACAGGCACTTTGGAACTTAATGCTGCAGTCAGAAGCAGTGAGACAGATGTACACACAGCAATATGAAAAGAGCCTGGAAAAAGAGCGCTGAGTTAGAATGCTGAGAAACAGAACAAGCTCTACGACATAACCCTGCTTCGGTAAATTAAACTCACAAGTGCACATGTGTGCACACCTACACACAACAGTGCTCGATAGTTTACAGTGATGTACATACATCTGAGGACAAGTGGCAACACTTGACATAGTTGCCTGTAGTGCTTGAGGACAAAGTGGAAAGAGAGAAAATTAGGGCTGAAGAACACTAAAAAAAACAAAAAAGACTTTGTAATGAACCAATCATGAAAATGATGAGTCATCAACCAAGTAGGAGTAACTCAACTTTCTACCATAAAAATAAAAAATAAGTATAATTGCAAAACTTGCGTACAACCTCGTCTACGGAAGGGATTAAATAAAATTCTGTGTGCACTGTGCACGGACATATTCAAGCATGTCAAAGATTCAAATGTAAGCTAATACTGGACATGAGAGGGCCTTTCTTCCTCACGTGGAAGCACTGAGGTTCGGGGAGGTTCAGCAGTTCGCCCGACACCTAACTAACGACAGGCAGGATGAAGGGGTCAGTTTCACTCCTGCTCTTCCTCTCACAGCCCATTCACAAATTCACAGCAGCTAAACCTTCGAAATACATCCAGGACTTCCCTGCTGGTTCAGTGGTTAAGAAGGGGCCTTCCACTGCAGGGGACATGGTTTCCATACCTGGTCTGGGGAGATTCCAAGCTCCCCAGAGCAACGAAGCCTAAGCACTGCAACCACTGAAGCCCGTATGCCCCAGAGCGCATGCTCCGCAACAGGGGACGCCATGGGGAAGCCAGGGCACCGCAACCAAGAGCAGCCCAGGGGCAACAATGAAGACCCTGTACAGCCCAAAATTGATACATTCATTAAAGTGCCCCTCAAACCTGACCACTGTTGACCACACTACTTCCGCGTCCACTCCAAAGTCACTGTCATCTCTTCCCTGAACTACCCAACAGTCCACCTGGGTCTTCTGCTTACACTCTTGCCCTTCTACCACCCATTTTCTGCCAATGACCAGAATCATCTTCAAGAAGTCTATCAACTGCTACACTTTCATGCTTTCAGCTCTCCAAGGCCTCCCATGAAAACCATCACAGTGGCGTCTCAGGCCCTCCATGACCTGGCCACTGCTGGCCCCTCCAACCACAGTTTCCGTGGCCTCCCGGTGCCCCGGCCCCTACCCCATGCTCACGGCCCTCCTGCCACGCTGGCCTTTGTTCTTCCTCCCACTCGCCAGGCAGGCTCCTGTCTCAAGTCTCTGCATTCGCATTCCCTTGGGCTGGAGCTTGGCTGCAGTGCTCCTTCCTCCGACATTCAGGGCAGGCTTCCTCCCTTCATTAATTCAAAAGTCACTTGTCCTCTCAAACATTCCTTCTAAACACACTGCCTCCAGGCATTCTTCATCCTCACATCTCCCTTTTTTTCCTTCCTGGCACTTATTAGCTGATACTTTTACATATTTATTTGTTGATTTATTTGAATGTCCATCTCCTCCCCAGTATATAAGCTCCTCATCTGTCTCAGCCCCACTGCATGTCCACAGCCCAGGCAGTGCTCACCATACAGAAGACACAAGGAAGTAACTCTTTTCTGAAAGCAACAACTTAACAAACTCAGATCTCACCACCTAGCTTACCTGGTTCCATTACATCATGCTGCTTCCCAGGTAAAAGCGTGTACAATCTGTCATTTTTCTACTAACAGATTAAAAGGTCCTATCTTAAACATTCATTTAAGCCCAACCAGGCCCACCATGTGCTAAGTTCTAGGTAAATATGAAATGACAAACAGAAAACAAACCACAGTAAAGAGATAAAAAAGAAAGAAAAGAGTTGATGGCATGGAGAAACGCTAATTTGTATTCTGTGTCACCACTCTCCACTCAGTGGTTAAGTCTTTTATTTCCTAAGGGCCTATCTGCCCAAGTCACAGATAGGAGCTTTGAAGGAGATAAAAATTAACCAAATTCCTGCCCTGGCTTCAAGGAGCTAACACATACGTAACTATCAAAACACAAATTTTAACAAATACTTATGAAAGACATAAAAAGAGCTATAGGATTTCAAGGGGAGGGGAATTACTTCTAGTTGTGTGAAAGGGGTGGCAGATTGAAATGGTTAAACTGAATATTGATAAGATGAGCAATGGCTGGATGATAGCCTATAAACCTGCAAGGCAAGAGCTATATTTTATTCATTGTGCTGTCTTTAATGTTTCACAAAATGTCGGAAACATAAGGCATTCAATGAATGTTTGACAAATTTGGGAGGAGCAAGCATTCCCGGCAGAAGGAAGAGCGTCAGTAAAATACGTGAGAGAATGCAGGGCATGGATGAACCAAAATGAAAAGTGAGGACTGACTGGGAAAAAGGGTTCAGGAAAAAGAATGGCAAGAACTCAACAGGGAAAAGTAGATTTGGGCCAGAACAAGGATTGCCATACACGACAGACTAAGGGGTTTTCCCTGGTGGCTGAGCTATAAAGAATCTGCCTACAATGCAGGAGATGAGGGCTCCATCCCGTGGTCTTGAAGATCCCAGAAGGAAATGGCAATCCACTCCAGTATTCTTGCCTGAGAAATCTCATGGACAGAGGAGCCTGGTGGGCTACAGTCCATGGGGTTTAAAGAGTCAGACTTGATTGAGTGACTAAATCACCACCACCACCAAGGCAAAAAGGGAACACTACAAACTTTTACACAGGAGAGGCTGATCTCAGGAGTCAAACAGGAGTCTGCTGCTTGAAAATAAATCTATCATCACTTCACTCATACTGTTTAACTTTTCCTATTAGAAATAACTTTCTTTTAAGGCATAACCACTTTGGGAATCTTCTTCACCTCCAAATTATCCTGAGAGGTAACCAAACAACTATTGTCATTCATTTACACTTTAGTGTAAGCTGGATGACCAACTTACCTTCTGGCTAAAGTACACAAAACCATTGGGGAAATGGTAATTTTGACTACAGATGAACTATAACTTTTAGCCTCTTGAGACACTACCCTGGAAAGAGAGCCTGGGGTGCAAAAAAAAAAAAGTCAATGAATTAATACCTTTGTTTAAGAGCCTATTCTGTTCTTTGCAAAAGCACAGGAAAGTAAAGAAAATAAAACACATACTAATCTTCCAAAATGGGAAGTCTTAAATTGATGATCTAGAAGGTAAGAAACAAAGAGAAATATGATAAACTGAACATTTCGGGGAGGAGGGGAGAAGGGTTTGTGGAATTCAGACACTAAGTTGCAAGACTTTGTAATCACATTCACTCACAACTTTATGAACTATGATGGAAAATTAACATTCAAGGAATATGATGGTGAAAGGAAAAGAAATTTAAAATGAAAACGTTAGAAATCCATCCAAACAATGTTATGTACCAAAAATGATAATCACAGTAACAACCACACGGTAACCCAATCAGACTGAACGGAAACCCGGTATCTCAACTGGATGGTTTCAGCTTTCTAAAACGAAAATCCTCAGTCTAGGCCACAGGGAGGGTCGTTCTGCTGACTGGTTGGGCGAGGGGATACAAGGAAAACGCTAGGACGGGTTTCCGCAGACAAGCATCAGAGTTGCGCGCACTAGCAGGGGATGGATGGGACCAGCACTCACCGCTTGTCGATGGCGTCGATGTTTGAATGGAGAAGCCACAGCTCCTCTGTGTTGTCCTGCCGGGAGGAGAGGATCAGGTGGTGGCCAGTCAGACACAAGGTCCCCTCGACGGCCGGATAGAAAGGTCGGTGCAGCACCACATTATCCACCCGAGGGGTCTTGATCAGCTCGGCAAACTCCATGTTCTCCAGCGGCCGGAGCCAGGGGAATGCGGAGTCCCAGAGGTGCAAAACGGTCCCACCGCTCCTGGGCTGAAGGCGCCGATCCCGCGCCCAGCAGGCAGCAGGGGCGTGACAAGGGCTGTGAGGCCGCGCCCCGCCCCAGGCTGGGGTGGGCGCGGCGAGGCCTCTAGCCACTGTCACTGGCCCGGGGAAGGCCCGGGCTGGGCCAGGCTGGGCACCTCTCCCGCACCTCTAAGTAACCTCAGGCCCAGGACTTGGGCAAAAAGAACGCTCTCTGACAGGCCCAGCCGCTGCCACCTCCACCTTGAGATCTGGCTTCGGGTAGCCAGGTTGAGAGAAGGAGGAGGCCGCCCCTGGGCCACTTTCCAAGTCCAAGACGCTAAGGACTCCTGGCGGAAATAGCTACTCACAGCGGGAACTTAAAGCAACTCCGGGCGGAAGCGATGGACTGAAAACAGGAAAGACGGGCCAGTCCGACCTAGAAATCAGTCCCCGCCTAGGTGCGAAGAGAATGTCTCCGGAAGCACAGCAGGAGTCGAAGATTTGTGTTCCTAGCAGAAAAAGCTCTGCCTTCAGGTCCACTGCTGCGCCCGCTACTCCTACAAATATTCCGTATGAGAAAATGCAGGAGAAAAAGGAACGACGAGAGGAGGTCCCTGACCTGCCTGCCTCCACTTGAGCAGTAATCCCTATTCAGCGAGTGGGGTTGCAGTAAATTTTGGCGATTTTCATCCTTTCGCCGTGAAGAGGTAACATTTGGGATTGAGGCGGTGACTGTGACCACAAAGAAGGGACCAGATGTAAGGGAGGAGCCGGCCGGACACGCACAGTCACAGGGGGCGAGCGCAAACGTGCTGTGACCCTGAACAAGAAAGAGGAAAAGCATACAAACGCCTACGAGAACACCTAGATAGAAATACACACATGCTCAGAAAAGGGAGTAATTAATCCTCAGTTCAGTTCACTTCAGTCACTCAGTCGTGTCCGACTCTTTGCGACCCCATGGACTGCAGCATGCCAGGCCTCCCTGTCCATCACCAACTCCTGGAGTTTACTCAAACTCATGTCCATTGAATCGGTGATGCCATCTAACCATCTCATCCTCTGTCATCCCCTTCTCCTCCCGCCTTCAATCTTTCCCAGCATCAGGGTCTTTTCAGATGAGTCAGCTCTTGGCATCAGTTGGTCAAAGTATTGGAGCTTCAGCTTCAACATCAGTCCTTCCAATGAACACTCAGGACTGATCTTTACTTGGATCTCCTTTGGTTGGATCTCCTTGCAGTCAAGGGACTCTCGAGAGTCTTCTCCAACACCACAGTTCAAAAGCATCAATTCTTCGGCGCTCAGCTTTCTTATAGTCCAACTCTCACATCCATACATGACTACTAGAAAAACCATGGCCTTGACTAGATGGACCTTTGTTGACAAAGTAATGTCTCTGCTTTTTAATGTGCTGTCTAGGTTGGTCATAACTTTCCTTCCTTCCAAGAAGCAAGTGTCTTTTAATTTCATGGCTGCAGTCACCATCTGCAGTGATTTTGGAGCTTCCCAAAATAAAGTCTGTCACTGTTTCCACTGTTTCTCCATCTATTTGCCATGAAGTGATGGGACTGGATGCCATGATCTTAGTTTTCTGAATGTTGAGCTTTAAGCCAACTTTTTCACTCTCCTCTTTCACTTTCATCAAGAAGCTCTTTAGTTCTTCACTCTCTGCCATAAAGGTGGTGTCATCTGCATATCTGAGGTTATTGATATTTCTCCCGGCAATCTTGATTCCAGCTTATGCTTCATCCAGCCCAGCGTTTCTCAAGGTGTACTCTGCATAGAAGTTAAATAAGCAGGGTGACAATATACAGCCTTGACGTACTCCTTTCCCAATTTGGAAACAGTCTGTTGTTCCATGTCCAGTTCTAACTGTTGCTTCCTGACCTCCATACAGATTTATCAAGAGGCAGGTCAGGTGGTCTGGTATTCCCATCTCTTGAAGAACTTTCCATAGTTTATTATGATCCACACAGTCAAAGCCTTTGGCATAGTCAATAAAGCAGAAATAGATGTTTTTCTCCAACTCTCTTGCCTTTTTGATGATCCAGTGAATGCTGGCAATTTGATCTCTGGATCCTCTGCCTTTTCTAAAACCAGCTTGAACATCTGAAAGTTCAGAGTTCACATACTGTTGAAGCCTGGCTTGGAGAATTTTGAGCATTACTCTACTAGTGTGTGAGATGAGTGCAATTGTGCGGTAGTTTGAGCATTCTTTAGCATTGCCTTTTTGGGGATTGGAATGAAAACTGACCTTTTCCAGTCCTGTGGCCACTGCTGAGTTTTCCAAATTTGCTGGCATATTGAGTGCAGCACTTTCACAGCATCATCTTTTAGGATTTGAAATAGCTCAACTGGAATTCTATCACCTCCATTAGCTTTGTTCATAGTGATGCTTCCAAAGGCCCACTTGACTTCACATTCCAGGATGTCTGGCTCTAAGTGAGTGATCACACCATCGTGATTATCTGGGTCATGAATTAGTCCTATTCCATGGGTAAACTCAAGTGACTTCCTAAAACACGGTTAATCTGTAGCAGAAGTGACTTCAGTCTCGGTCTATGAAATTCAAGGCATTGGGCTTTGGTCACTACTGCTTTGGTCCTCATTAAATACAATCTAACTGAACTACTTTCAGACACCTAAACTATGCCAGAAATTTGCTCCAGTAATTTCTCCGCGCTTTGTGTCTCTTTCTCTTTTTATTTTATTTATTTTTTCTCTTTTTAAACTAACATTTTCATGCTAAATAGGAAATTAGAGGGACTATATGCAAGGGTTTAAGTCCCTTTCAGTCTACTGGCACTTCATTAAGCTTTGAAATCTTCACGATATAGTACCTAAGAACAGTGAGTTGGCTTAAATCTCAGAGCAGTCAAAGACAAAATAAATTGCCTGAATTCTTATCAGATCACTCAACACTTGTCCTTGCCCTCCTTAAAATGTTCATGACCTAAAACTCTGCTTAAGACAAAGCCCTTATGATAGTTAAAGCTGAGAGTCCAGTTTTTGTTGCTTGTCTACAATAGAAAAGTAGGAACCAACAGACAAAAGAGCATGAGGGGAAATGACTTATCGTCTTTTTTAAAATTTGGTGATTTTTGTTGTCCTTCCACCATGTTGTTCATCATAAAAACTACCACTTGAAGAAGGGAAAAGCATCCTCAAGAGTGAAGAATTGGGAAAGATTTTATGGAGAAGGTATCATTTGAGAGGGGTGTAGCCTAGACACCTGTCCAGTTTAATGAGGTCTTTTAGGTAGGGAAAAACTCTTCACAGAAAGCATGACCTTTTTCTTTTCGTTTTCCTGAGGGGGAAGCCTACGAAAAGACCATTCTGAAATTACATTAAAAAATGTTTAACATTCCATAAAGGTATAAAATCTTCTTGCCGGTGAACAAAAAAAACTTTCAAAATCATATTGTGTTGCTATTATGAAGTACTAGAAACTATTAGAAAGTTACATCTTCTCTGGGTTGAACTCCAAGCATGGACAGAACTTTAGATCTGAACTGTTGGTCCTCTAAGGGTCAAATCTAAAAGGGAAAGAGGTTTCTACTATATTCCACTGCAACCTTGGGACCCTGGGCTATTTTCATATCTCTTGAGCCTGATAAGGCTGGGAGACAAGACTGCAGTTATCTGTCACCGAGGACCTAAAAGGGATGTACCAGGAAATGACTCCCTCTTTGACTGTAGTGCCTAGCCCCTTCAGATTGGCAAAACAATCTCAAGATCACTTTGGGCCATCGTGAGCCTAGAGCGCATTGGTGCACCTAAAGAAAGTGAGAATCTACATGAGAAGAGGTCTGAATGCTTCCAACTTGTGAAACTGTGCGTCAGGGTGCTTCAAACTCACAAGGCCTCTGGGGATGTAAAAATACACCCGCCCTCAAAAAACCAGCCCCAGTACATCAGGGATAAAAATTCCAAATGGGGCCCACTTTCAGGAAGCCGATTTCCAACCTTACACTTTACTCACACTCTTTCAACCAAACCACAGGGAGACAAGTTCTACATGATTACAGGAAGGCAAATCAAAAGTGCAACAAGGTTGCCTCTGACAGCAGTCAGAAGGGTCATTGTGACCACGTCTCCAAGGAGAAAATTCTGGACACAGCCTGGAGCAAAGGGAACCCTCCTACACTGCTGGGGGAAATGTAAATTGGTAGAGCCGGATGGAGAAGAGCACAGAGGTTGATTAATAAACCAGAAAGAGTGTCACCAGACCATCTAGAAATACCACCTCTGGGCACCATCCTCCAGAAATCTGAATTGGAAAACATGCTTGCACAACATTCATGGCATCACTATTTACAAATGGCAAAATGGGCAAATAACAAAATGACCAATGACAGATGAAGGGATAAGACTCCTGGTATCAAAAGAGAAAGGAATTATGACTCAGCTATGCAAACGAACAATGTAATGCCATTTGCAGCAATGGGATCAAACTAGAGATGGTCACACTAATGAAATAATCCATATAGCAAAGGACAAATATTGCATTATTTCACTATAAAGTGAAAGTGAAGTCGCTCAGTCGTGTCTGACTCTTTGCGACCCCGTGGACTGCAGCCTACCAGGCTCCTCCATCCATGGGATTCTCCAGGCAAGAATACTGGAGTGGGTTACCATTTCCTTCTCCATGGGGTCTTCCCAACCCAGGGATCAAACCCGGGTCTCCCTCGTGGGAGGCAGATGCTTTAACCTCTGAGCCACCAGGGAAGCCCGCTGGAATCTAAAAATACTGAGCAATGAACTAATGTTTAGAAGGGAGAGAGACTCTAGACCAAAAACCCAAAACTTTAGGATTAGGAAAGGGAAAATTCAGGGGCCATATAAAACTTTGGACTGAACATATACAAACCCCTATTTATAAAATAAAGAATCAACAACTTAGATCAGAGAGAACTCTACTGAACACTCTGTCAAAAGCTGTCTGGGAAGAGAATCTA